CTTTCTCTCTTAACAGAGGAAACATTAAAAGATGTTAATCGACCGAAACGACGAAAAGTATTCGCGAAACGAGGCGAGAAAAAGTAATATTGGACCGCTAACAAACAAGCGCGAGTGAAGACGCGGATGATAAATAATTTTTTTAGAAAATAAGTTCAACGTGAAAGTAAACGAGTGTAGCCTAAAATTAGATTTTCCACCTGCCTCGGAGAACGATCCTCCGCCTGTACAAAGCGAAGAAACGTCGGAAACGCAACTTTCCAAACTTGACGAAAGAGTAACGAAACGCGCGGCTTTTCGGTTATTTTTCTCGATCGTTGTTGGCAAATTGGCGAGAAAGGGGGAGGGGAGAGAAGAGGAAAGAAAAAACGAAAAAAAAAAAAGAATATTCATTTGACCGACGTACACGAACGAAGCCTGAAAACATTCCAAAAACAGGCATCGGCCGGTTTACCGGTTTACGATTCTACGCGATGCAATTAAAACCGTTCGTTTCTTCGTCAACCAAGGACTTTCGCTTCTCGGTGTTGCACGAGGTCAGGTACACGAGGCCTCGTTTCACACTCGGGGAACACGAGCGAGCGGGCCGAACAGATGACCGTAGAATCGTGCGGGTAATTAGCGCGGAACTGGTTTCATCGTTGGTTGGATCGTTCATAATTCGTGTGCCGGCCATTAGCAGTTTCTCAGCGATCGTAATCGTCGAACACGGGGCCCCTCTTTTAGCGTGCCAAGTCGTGAGATGTTGAAACTTTTGCTCTCTGTATCAGCAGTCTTCTTTTTCTCTTTCTTTCTTTCTTTCTTTCTTTCTTTCTTTTTTTTTTTTACATTCGATCGGTTTGCACCGGATGGATGATTTTTAAAGTGGTTAATCGAATTCGTTTTGCCGCAGATTCTCAAGATGTCGATCTGGATGCCATCCTCGGCGAGCTGTGCGCTCTGGAACGCCGCTGCGACGGCGACATCGCTTCCACACCGGCACCCGACTCGCAGAGACAGAGCCGACCTAACAGTACCAGGATCACTGCCGGAGACAATACCGATATCGGCAAGAATGAAGGAGGTATTTCGTCTATACAAAATTCTACTTGATCGACAGACTTTTCTGCTAAAATGTCAATCTCCTTTTTTAAATGGACTCGAGAGCGATTAGCTTATCGATGAAGAGGAGAGAAATTATCACTTACTGATATTAAAAGTTGCAGATCAGAATTTGTTATTGCGTAGAAATATCAACTTTCACAGTTCTGTGATTTCTCATAATTATCCTGACATTACGTTGACACAGCGAACAGAATCCTTTAGAATGACAATAAACGTCGCTAGAATGTTAAGTAATATTCAATGCTAGAAATTTAAATAAAATTTATTTCCTATGGTTCTTGAAGTCATTCCTACTTCAAACACTCTTCCATTCCGTCGCCTGATTTGCAGAACCACTCGAGTAGTACCACTAGGTAACTGAAACGGTTACTCCAGAGTTGTAATTGCCAGGATGTTTGCACGTTGTGCCCGTTGCATTGTTTAACAGCTGTCAAATATTTGTTCCAGCTATGCGCACCGATAGTCCTGACAATGACAGCGCGTTCTCGGACACGGTGTCGATGTTGTCCAGTGAGAGTTCCGCGAGCAGCAGCGGTTCCGGGCACAAACCACCTCAGACCGCCATGCACACAGGTCCTCAGCAGCAATCTCACCAACTCATGGGTGAGTTCCGATCTTTAAAATCGTTAGAATCCAATAATCTATTCTTCCGATTGCGAATAATGTTGCCTTGTTAAAGTAAGTTTGAATGTAAATTTTGTTGAATGCCGTTTTTCTAATCTAATAACGACATGTTTGAAGATAAATTTCTTTACTTTAACCCTTTGCCCTCGACGAACTTCCTTTCTATCATCTGTCAGTGATTTATTTACGAAGCATCAGTTCAAATCGAATGATACAGCGTTGGAAATCATTCCAACATGTATATGTTCAATGTATAATTTAAAGCAGCCATCAACGTGTATTGCGTATATTCAATCTCTGGGAAAATTCAGTTTATGTGAATTATTGAGTGTCAATTGACACTCGGGACAAGCCCTTCAGAAATCTCGTCTTTCTGAAATTCGTTTGTTCCTCTTGCGTCGTTATTATAGCTTTCACTCTAGGCGTCAAATATATATCAGCAAATTATAAAAAGTCCGAGCTGTTGGCTAGATTTAAATGCAATGTCCCCTCGGTAGGGACAGTCGAGTGCAAAGGGTTAATTTTGGCAAATTTTATTTTCAGAAGATGAATAAACTTTTGTTTAATTCGTTGTCCACCTTGCAATTATGAAATATCCATTTGTGTTTTTATTCGTATTTTATA